CCACACCACACCCCCGCGTCGCATGTCCAAATCGACATTTGAGCAATTTGTTGCCAATCACCCTTTCTAGCGGCACAGCACTGCAACCCTCCCCCTCTCAGCTTTCATGGCCTCCACTCTACCTTTGCCACCAGTAAACAACAACAAAAGCCTGTCAGTTGTACACAGTGCGCAGGCCGAACCATGTCGGAAGCTGGTTGTGGAAGCCAAACATGGTGCGGCGCCGGGCGAGGCTCTGAGCGGCGCTTGCTTTAGTTTGCTGATGACTCCTTGGCGAGAAATGTCAGATGGTACTCATGTTTCGGTCAGTGACGCAGATGGAATGCAAGCAAGTTTGGGGACGAAAGTAAACGAGTCCGCCAGATGGCTGTTCTGGGCAGGACCACTTGCGCAGCACAGGCAGTCACAGCAGGTGCCTCTGCGTGCTGTGACAGCTTTCCCGGCTGAGAACGTTGCGTAAGGTAGGCCGCACTTGTATGCCAATTTTTTGGGGAGAACCGATTAATTAAGAGGGTCGCTTTTCCGGGAAGATGGCAGGAATCGTGTGCAAGCGGCCCGCTCGTTTCGGTGTTTCGGTTCCAAGTAAACTGCGTTCCGTAATGGTCTCCAAACGCCCGTGAAACTTTGCGTCAGTCGAGTTCGGAAAGTCTGTCACGGATTCTGGCGGGGGCCTTTCGGAGTAGACTGAGCTACAGCACAGATGGGCGCTACTGTAGCTCAGTCTTCACATCATCGAAGCACCCCAAGTGCGCGTACTGGCTGTCAAGTGCAAGATGAAAAGCATGTAGATTTTAAAGCTCAAACTCAATCAAGCTCAGGCATGAGGTCATGATAGTGGTAATCCGCCAGAACTCCCCACCAGCATCCTGAGAGCCTTTGCAGGGACGCTCAGTTGCTTCCGACGCATACGGCGGACGCAAAGGAAGCAGCGGTCATCCGAGACATGAACGTGCCCAAGCTGCAGCTGGAAGGGGTGCTGCCAGGTGTTGCAAGGTCACACGGGAGCAAGTTAATCCTGGAATTGGCTTCCAGGCAAGTGTGCGATACATGGGCCTGCATGGTGGCGCAGAGAATGATGGACGATCCAACTCAAGATGGCACCTTTGCTTTTGAAATTGAGTCTGCGTGGTGTGTCAATCCATTTTTGAATGCCAGAGTTGGAACTTAGACAGCTCGTAAGAATTAGTAAGAATCGTCTCGCAACTGCGTCCTCAGTTCGGCATTCATGAATTACTGCGCCGACATCATCCACAACCACTACTTCGAAGTGGCTCGGCAGCCTATGGCAGCCTACTGACTGCTGCAGCAGCTGCTTCACCCCCCTGGGCCCTTGAGATTGGCTGCAGCTTTGTGATCATTATCCTTTCCCGGACTGTATCTTCGCACGGGCTGGGTGTTCGATGCGGTTGTTTGTGCAGACGTTTCTACTGTCTTGGACAGGGGCGACTTCATGGCGCTATTGTTGGAAACGAACTAGGAAATCTCGGCAGCAACAAGCATTCCAGCCCTGCCAAGATGATGAGTGCCTGGCTTGTCGTCATGAACGCAATCTGGATCGGCATCAGCACGGACGCTCGATCGATGACTTCGTTGGATGTTGTGAGTTTGCGGTAGCTGACAAGATCCTCGGTAGGAGGCACGAAGCCTCCGATGCATATCTAACGAGGCTGTGCGTGCCTGTGGACGTTTTTGAGCGGTAGCACCTTTTGCCTGAGTTCTGGGAGAGATATCTGCACCCGAGGATTGGGTAGCACGGAACTGGACCACGACTGTGCCAGATTGGTTCCACTACACAGCCTCCTGGCAGAACTGGGCATAGCCTGCCGCTGGTGCTGCGATCACACGCGGTAGATGCTCCAACTCCAACTGAGCCCCAACAAAGCCAAACTCTTTTTTTGCCAACTCGAACCGTGTCTGTCCCTGACGGCTTGAGCTCAACTTCCTCCAGAAACAGGGGCTTCAATTTCGAAACGAGAATATGAGAGTCATGCCCTTGTCGGGAACAAGTAACTTCAGAGGATTGGATCTTCTGTCTCCTGGCCGTCGGGGAACTGTTCATCCGCATCGGAGCCCAGGGTTGTTCCTTCTTCTACGAGGACAGAGGCATCTCAGGCAATTCGCTGATTCAAGCTTTCGCTTACACCTGTTTGCTTCCGGTGGCAAGTTTCACACCTCATTGCGGCGGGTTCCGATATGTGATGTGACATTCTTGATTTGAGGCGCAGGTTTCGAACTGGTCCTTCTAAGAAACCTGATGGCCCTGTCGTCATACAAGCCTGCACCATTCCATATATGGTCAGGACCATTGGCGGTGGAATCTGTTCGACACACTTGTGGTGGTCACACAAATCGCCGATCTTGTTATCAGTGACTCGTCTGCGCGGGCTCGGGATGTTGGACATGCTGTGCTTTTTGCAACATGCTTCCGTGTCAGGCGTTATTGAGCGGTCCGTGAGTGAAGCGGCCAGCCGGCGCCCAAGTCAGCCAGCACCTCTAATTCTCGTGACTTTCTCGCGCTTTCATAAGGCCCCCTAAGAGGTTGCCCATTACGTTTCTGCTCTGTTCCGACCGCGGTTTAAACGCCCCCGCGGCCCGGGGCCGCGCAGAAATCAGGAAGTGCTTGAACACTCTCATAGTCAGGTTCTTCCATGCCGTGCCGAAGCAAGAGACGGTCTCAAGAAAGCACATCAAAAGCGATGTAAATACCAGACCGCATTACAGTGAGAACGGACATCAGTATCTCTTGCAGCTAGCGCGAAAGTACAAGCGAGCAGGTGCTTGGCATTCATGCGGGTGCCTGTCAGTACGCTGCACGATCTCGCAAGCGACAGCCCTGAATCTGCTCAGCAGTTTGCCTTGAGGTCTCAGAGTGCTGAAACTCGCATCTTGTCTGGACTTCTAGTGCAGCTTGGAGACCTGGTGAGGAGGGCGCGAACTTCTACCGCCTTGCGTGCAGTCTTGCAGGGGATAGGGCCACGTTTCAAAACATGCAAGATTTAGCCAAGGTGCGGATCCTGCGCATCGCTCGCATCGCTTCAGCTTTTCCCGAACTGCACATATTGATCAGCTCCATAATTGAGACTCAGCATCGCTGGTTTTGGCATGGACATACTGGGCACCATTCCCCACCGCTGAAGTCGCACAAGTTGGCGGCCAAGTTTACCCAGCGCCCAGGACTCGCTCCAGTCTCTTTTCTGGACGATGGTCCTGATCTTTGCCTGTCTCTACGGGGTTGCGGTAGCAACCTGCCCGCAGCACGAGTGTCCGACTGTTAGCGTACAGTGACGGGATACACGTCATACATAGAACAACTTGGTGGCATATCTCCCGCATCCACGCACTGAGCTTGAGCACACTCGACTCTAACCCATGCATCCCATGCAGCATGAGCCTCCTGATGGGAAGGGCCGATCAGTACAGCAGAGGCGGTTAGATAAGGGAACCAGAAGGAAGCGGCCAAGCGGGCCCTCTGAAAGGGGGAGCAGCCCCCTCGGGAGGAAGAAAAGACGATACGGAAGTGACGCAGGGCACATGATCACAACGCAAGCCTGGCTGAGACTTGCTGATGTCTGCTGCAAGGTGATCACACAGGTCGTTTCAGACCACAAGATCGCGATAGGCTGCCGGTTGCTTGTTTTCGACCATAGGGGTTTGTTCTACGACGGGCCCGTGCCCGTGGAGAGCGTCGCATGAGTGACTTCCTCATATGGTGCTTGGCATCATGCTACTGCGACGAGGTTGCTTTGATCGCTAGGAAGAACCGGCTGTGCAATTTCTACTCGGTCGATCATCCCTCGCAACATGCCATCTTGTCATCTGCAAGGCGCAGTGGGAACCAAAGTATGCTGTTCGGTTTGTCGCTTCATCCTTGGTGAGGCCGAGAAGTCATGGAGCAGCGGCACGAGTCACTCGGCCAAGGAACAGTAGCGCCGGAATCGAATCCCATAGCTGCTTGCTTGGTTTTCAGCGATGAGTGGTAGCCAAGAGCACCTCGCGGCAAGGGAAATGCTTCACTTCTTTGGATCTTTGGACTCCACGATGGTGGCTCTCTACATGGCTACTCTGATGATCATCAGCGGTATGCAGAAAGAATCTGTCGTGAGGTTCTTCTGCCTTTTCATGCGGCACAGTAGTAAACTTGCCAGACTGCATCCCCAGTTAAAGTGCGGAGTTGTTCGGAGTTTGGTAACCTGAGCTCCGATTGATATTGAGGTAATCTCTGAGGGCATCCATTGGCACCCGGGCCTGGATCAGTTTCATGTGAGTTGCGTGGCTCGTGTCAATCCGCCAAGCCCAGGAGTGAATTGATGAACCAACTTGAAGAGACTTTGGGTGGGTGGGTGCGTTTCCTCTTCGTCGCCTTCACAGGACGGGTAGAGAATGGTAGAAACACTCTGGTTGCAGCTTGCCCTGGCGCAGAGCATGCCGCAATCGCATGTATCAGTTTGTTCAATGTCGGTTTTGCATTCACGAAGGTTTCGCGATCAATATTGCCATCCATACTGAGAGGATTCGAGCTGTTTGCGATGATGAACATTATTACCGCGTGCTTTGTAGCTTGTCTGTCTGCTGGCATACGACGAATGAAGGGTTTGAAGTGGATATCCGAGCAGCTGAGGTAGATTCGGTCCTGGGCTCAGAATGCTTCGCACCTTGAGCAAGATTGTAATTGACAACAGCTGGCGGTCGGCTGTGGGTGCTACCCATCATTTCCCACCAATCTGGCCACCTGCTCCTCGCAGTCTCGTAGGCGTTTTGTAGCGTGCTCAGGCTGAGCTGACGGCTGCAAGGTAGTCATATGTAGCAGAAGCGCCAGGAGCTTCAAGCATGTTGTCTGGCATCACTTCGAAGGCAACGTCCAACCCGGGCCAAGTACGGACTCTGTAAACTCTAGTTCCTTGGACTAGCGAGTCGTTGCGATATTGCCTTATCGTCAAGCCTAAAGGGCCTGCACAGAAGGACACTCAATATGCGAACGGGTCTAGCGCCAACGAACAAGTTGCGACGATCGCAACAGGATTGGTTAGTGCTATCCCAAGCCTACCATGTCCCGCCAGCCACGCAATCAGTCGTGAAAGTTCCATTTCTCCGCATGCATGGTAACGCTTTGAGGCCATGAAGGTGGCAGCGAAGGCAGAGACCAAGGCCAGCAGTCTAGAGTGGACAGCGCTTCAGACGCTTCACAGACGCGGGCCTGGGATGTCGCAGATTGGCACAGGAAGTCCTTGACTCGCTCTGGGGTCTGCTTTGCGAAAACGCAGGCAGAGATGCCAGACGCCCAGCAAGGAAGCAAAATATGAGTGCAGCTCATGCCAAAGACCCAAGAACTCCTCTTGCAGACATGAAAGTTATCGTGTCTGACAGGCACACACCGACGACAAGATTGTGACGAGGGAGCAGTTCATCTCTACCTACGGCCACGAGAGCAACCTGCAAGTGATAGTTTTGAACAAACCCATCTCGAGATTTGCCGCCAAGCTAAGATTGCTCCATGTTCCCTGCTTCAGATCCGCATTTGTTGCAACAGGCATGCGCAAGTTCCTGGACTTGATCAATGCCCACACAGAAGATCCAGACCATGTGTTCTCCATGATCGACAGCAGCTTTGCCAAATCCAAATGGTTTGTTGTTCAACTGTCGCGTCTTCATTAGCAGATCCAGGGGCACTTGACCGCCAATAAAGTGGACTTATAGTGGTCCCCGAATAGATGGCTGCCGGAAAAAACAACAAAAATCCATATTAGCTGCCGCAAAGGTGGCTCAAAGCTTGCATCCAAATTCCGTAGAATTACCGGTCCAATAGATGGCATATGAAAATTCGAAACTAGATAGATTCGTCGATGCCCGCTCCGGCCTCTCCGATTACCTTCCCAGATGTGCCATCAATTTGCTCGGGGTTTGGGATTTGGGGTACGAAGGCTGCAAAGATATATGGTGCGGGGTGTGGGCTTTTGGGCTTGAGGCTCGGGTTTGTGCGTTCTCCCTGGCTCCTGCCGCCTGTAAACCGATCTGGAGGTTCGGCAGACCTTACCCCCCTATCCATTTTTGAAAGCTTTGCAAAACACAGAATGGCCCTGGTGAATCAGGTGTCATGAAACCCTGTACTACTAATTCGGACGATTCTATGTGGGCGCTTGGGGTTCAGGCTCATTATGTGTGAGCAGAGTGCAGGTCACGGGTGGCATCCCAATACCCACAGGCATTGGGGTGTGCCCCTTTGTACCGTTAGCAAAAAAACTGAACGTGTGGTGCTGGGGGTTACCACCCCGCCTTAGAAACCCCAATCTGGCCCAAACCCCGCAACACCGTCTCCTTCACTCTTCCTCTTTCTGGTTGTTCTCTCCCTGTCTCGTGCCTTTTCTTTCTCCTTCCCCTCCCTTTTGCCTTCCAGATGCGCTATCTATTTGCTCAGGGTTTGGGGTGTGGGGCAGGAAGGCTGTCATGGTGCGGGGGGGGGGGTTGTGGGCTTTTGGGCTTGAGGCTCGGGTTTGGAGACTGTGTACGCGGTTCCCTCTTTCGTCCTCTTTTGTGGTTATTCTCTCTCTCTCTCTCTCTCTTTCCCTGTCTCGTGTCACGTGTCGTCGTCCTCCCAGATGTGCCATCTGTTTGCTCGGGGTTTGGTGGTTTGGAGACTGGGTATTGAGTTTGGGGCATGGGTTTCGGGTTTGACCGGCAAGTTGCGGTCCCACGCACTCTCTCCTCGTCCTCTTCCTCTTCGTGGTTGTTCTCTGCCTGCCTCTTGTCTTCTTGTCCCTCCTCCTCTCCGATTACCTTCCAAGATGTGCCATCTATTTGCTCGGGGTTTGGGGTTTCGGGTAGGTGCCAAAATGACTGGGTAGTGGATTTGGCGCATGGTTTGTGGTTTGGGGGGGGGGGTAGGTTGTGATCCCGCCCACTTTTTCCCTCTGCTTCTTCGCCGTGGTTGTTCTCTCGCTCCCTGTCACATGCCATGTTCGCAACCTGGTGTCATCGAGGGGTTCACTATGCACGTAGGAATGTAAAACAAATCGATCGCGAGGCATGAAAGGTGCAAGCTGCTGGAGTGTATGTTGATGGCTTGTTTGTCAGAGTGAGAAGTCAAATATGCACAGCTTTTGAACGCCATCTTTTCTGCCGGTTTGAGGGCGTTGCAGACGGTCCACGGGAGGCCCCGAAAAGAACTGTGTTCGGATGCCATCTTTTCTGCCGGTTTGAGGTCCATGGGAGGTCCCGAAAATGCAGGTGTTGAGCCCCCCCCCTTGTGCCATCTTCCCGTCCCGAAAACCATCAATAGGGGTTCCCTATATGCCATCTTTTCTGCCGGTTGGAGGGTCCACGGGAGGTCCCGAAAATCGTTGCGTTTGTATGCCATCTTTTCTGCCGGTTTGAGGGTCCACGGGAGGCTGCGGAAATCCATGTGTTGACCTGCCCCCCCCTTGTGCCATCTTATCTTTCCGAAAACCGAAAACTATATGCCATCTATACGGGCCCCCCTATAAAGTCAACTCGAGAGTTGCGGGAGGTCAAGCCTCTCCACCACGCGGCCATTTTGGCTGAAGTCTGGCTGTTCTGTTTTGGTTGTCTGGTGCTGGCTGTTGCCTCTGTTGGGTTTTCTTGCTGGTCATGTCGCTTGACTCCCTTGCTTGCCTGGTCCGTCGCCGTCGCGGCGTGGCTACGGCACCTGATGATTAGTTGAATGCAGCCTTGGATGCGATCCCCCGTGAAGAGCCGCGGCGGTTGTGCTGCTACACCCGAAGGGTTATGCAGGCAAACCGCGTGGAGTATGTTGCTGGCTCACCTGGTGTTGCTGGCGATGACCCTGCTCCTGCTGCAGCTGGTGACAACTGTCCTCTTCCTCCCCCTGCTGAGGTCCCTGCTGCCCTGGCGCCTGAGGTTGGCGAGGACTTTGCCGAAGATGCTGTGTGCGACCTGCCTCCCCGGGAGTGGCCTGAAACCGTTGACCCTGCGGCCCTTGATGACTAGGCCCCAGCCTTCGTACAGAGGTGCTGCCTGTGTCTTGCGACCAGGCCTTCGAGTGAGCTTGAGGTTCGCTGTGGCAACGGCCCCGGTGCCACGTCAGCGCTGGCGGTTGGACTGCCGGTCGGATTTGCACACGTGTCGGTGTGCTTCTGGATCTCCTTGGCCTCTGATACAGTGGCCTGCTTTGTTCTGTGGCGTCGGCAAACCGCGCCTGGAAAGCCTGCAAAAGGAGCATCTGGGTGATGGGCCCACGGCCGGCACCACTGCCACCTTCTCCAGACTAGAAGAGCGCCGCGCAGGGGGAAGACGACACAGCGCGAAGGCTGACTTTTCAGGAGAGACACAGCAGCTGCTCGGCGGTCCGGGCTAAGCTAGGGAGCTGGCAGCGGAGCTTTTGAACCGAGCAATCGACATGTGCTTTTCCATGGTTGCTGTTGCTGACGGTTTGCAGCATGTGCCGGCTTCCAAGTGCACAAGCAGAGACCATGAGATCCCGAATGAGCGCCGAGATGATGGTCTGCACAGCTGCAAGGCTGAGGTCTTGGAGGTCCCGGAAGGCCACCGTTGCAAGAAAGGACTGCACAAACGCATGCGCTGGCGGCAGCAAGGAGCATGGTGCGTCCAGCTGCCAGTGCACCTGACAACATGCTGTCCCGTGTGCAGAGGCTCCCGTTCTTGCAGAGGTGCCCAGCACAGGTGCCGGCCGGCCGGAGCCTTCTGCACTACAAAGCTGCTCTCCTGCTTCCTGTCAGGTGGTTGCTACGTTAACATGGCCCCGCCCTGTTCCACTGCCGGTGCTGCCCTCAACATACCAGCCCCTTTGCGCAGCCAGCTCTGTCCAGATGGTTTTAGCGGCCTTCCCTTCTCGAGCGGAGTCAGGGTTTCTCAGGCTTAGCAGCTATGTGCCTTCTGCCTTGATGTTGAACTTCACTGCCATCACAACAACATCTAGTGGTCCATCGAGAGCCCTTCTGCTAGTCTGGTTTGGGGGACTACACCGATGTGCAAGCTGTGAAATTTTGTCGGGAGAACATCGTGGACGGTTGTGTTCGATCAGTGCTGCTTTGGCGGCCAGCGTAAGAAACGCACTACATGTGGAGCAATTGCCCTGCTTTACGCCTCAGTCAGTTGTGCAGATCTGGCCTTAGGCACAATCATGCCCTGTGGGGGCGTCTGGGCTCATTGCGTCCAGCTTGTCTGCAAAGCTGTCAGCTCCACTAGGGGACCGGCCTTCAACGCAAGGTCAGACAAAGATAGCCTGTGTGTGCAACGTGCCACTCTGGGTCTGTTTCCCCGAGGTCGCGCACCTGCCCGAGGAAATCAATCCCTTCAGCGAGGAGGTTGAGATCAGGCTCTTTTTGGACACGGATCCCATGCTGATCCAGGCAGGAGTATATAAGGTGTGGACATCCCAGGAGCACCCAAGGACTGTCGGGCCCTGCGGGTAATCCGTGACCCTCGTGCGTGGCTGGTACGCCTTGGTTAGCCTGCTGAAGTGATGTCATCTGCTCAGATTGCCCACCCAGGTGAGGAGCTCCCGAGGCTACCGAGCAGTCTTGAGTCCTTGCTCTTCAAGTTGCATAATATGCCATTGCGTGAGATTGCACGTGCGCGCTGTGGCTTTCTGCACTCTGCTCTTCAGGCTGCCAAGGAGCTGGACAGCGCCGAAGTACGGCTACATCGGACACTTGCGCCGCATGTTCGAGCTGTCCTCAAAGGCAAGCGTCCTGCTGTTTCAGCGTTTGCTGCGCAGTGTCGATCATGAGGATGCCCATCTGTTCCAGGACGTGGATGGCAGGAGTGCAGTGGAGCGATGGAAGCCAAGGTGTCACCCCCTACCCGCTCCGTGGAAGAGCTCTGGACACACCGTGTGTCGAACACAAGCAAATGCTGCTAGAGAACAGGTTGGCCCGTGAATGATGCCGATCTGAACCCTGCTGTCTGGCCGGGCAACCATTGAGGATGCTGATGCCGTTGACCTGTCCGAGTGTGTTCTCAGCCGGCGGTTTGGGGCTAGCCAGGGCGCTGGCAAGCGCTGCGATTGCTGGGCTTGACCAGGAGGTGCAAGCTTGTTGGCGAATGCTTCGTTTTTAAGAGTTAATACGGTCAGCTGCCGATTTCGTCTACCTGCCTGCGCTTCGCACGCATGCTGTCTGTGGGATCCCGTGCAACGGCGCAGGCACGTCCTGTCACTACTTGCGGTTACTTGCGGAGTGTAGAGTGGTGACTGCTAGTCGATCTGTGTTTGGTGCCCTGCAGCCTTTTCTTTGATGACTATATTCGCCTGCTTGGAGTTTGTCCTGCTGGGACTGAGGCACCGCCTCTCCCAAGGAGTGCACGAGCTTCGCATCCTGTGTGTGCTGGCTCAGTGGCAACATGTTTGGCCGCATGTCTGGCCTTGCTATCAAGACCATGTTTAGTTTGCACATGGTGGCCGTTCTTCTGCGCCTAACGTCCTGCCGCCCTCGGTGAGATGGGCTGTGAACTGGATCCTTGATCATGTTCCAAACGGAGAGGCCAAGGTTTGGTCCACGCGGCCTCGTACCAAGTACCACATCTTGTCTGATGGAGCCGCTGAGGCAGAGGGGTGCTCCATACCCTGCGGACGTTGTTGCTGAATGGACTGCATCTGGCACGGTGCATCCTGTGGTGCAAGCTGAGTTGTTGGTAGATTGTGTCAGTCTGCATGTATGGCGCAAACTCCCGCGGAACAGTTTGTGCCTGTTTGTGGGTTGACAACGAGCCATGTTGTACTGTCTTTCCTGACTCGGCCGAGCACATTTTGCACAGGCTTTTGCTGTGTGAGCAGGAGTGCAAGGCGACTTTGTAGCTACTGTATGCCGCGTGCCGAGCCACATCAACCCTGCCGACAAACCGAGCCGGGGCCAGGTGCCTGACCTTTGCACTGAAGAGCAACGTGCGGAGGTGTCTGAGGGGATGCTGAGACACCATGCCTTCAGCAGCGAATGAAGCACTTGGGTTCGGATGGCCCGCTGATGGAAGCTGCCTGTCGGCCCTGCCTAATGCTCCACCATGCGGCCAGTTTGACTTAAGTCTGACTGTTCTGTTTTCCCGCCCTCCCAACCCTATGACCTATGAGGAAAGATGTTGATCCTTTCTGGCAGCTGGGACTTGGCTTCGGGCCCGTTCGTCGTCAACATAGACTGCCTTTCTGTCGGATAAACCGTGATCCTCAGGCTTGTCTTTTGAGGCTGGGGTCTGACACGAGCCTCTGCTGCCAGTCTGCGGCCCCCTGCTGGGTCCACCGGGCCATCAGGGAATCCATTTTGCTGGGACCCTAATGAGGACGCACCAAGGCGCTGCCAAGCATTCAGTATGTGGGGCAACCTCCTGCACTTCTGCCCGAACCTGTTCGATCCTCAGACTGTCAAGGCCCAAGGTTTGTGCTGACGATGAACGTATAAGCTCATGGTTCATCTCGACGTGCTGTTCAGCAAGAAGAGTGCCAACACCTTGGTGCGGGTGCAACCCCTGTCACGCCTTGTGGTGGATGCGCAAGGCCCTGCCTGACTCAGACTTAAGTGAGGATGCACTTTTTGCACATGCTCACTGGCGCTGCAGCTTCCAGTGCTGACTGGCTCATTGGCGCTGCAGCTTCCAGTGCTGACTTGCGTGTCAGTGCTTTCAACATTCTGAACGGCACGTTGCATGGGCCTGCGCCAGCCACTAGCTGACCTGGTCAGCGCTCGTCTACGTCTACGAGCACTTGCGCATCAGCATCTGCGCACTAAGGAAAGCAGCTCTCTGCCGGTACTGTGGCTGGAGAAGTTGGCTGAGCAGTTGTCCGAGCCGTACGAAAAGCTGGTCGTCTGCATCCTGTGCTGCATGATCTATGGACGTGCTATGACGTGCTCCCAACAGAACAGTGACATCGCTCGGGCTGCTTCCAGGGTTTCGGAGGGTGGCGTGAAGTCCTGCTCAACTGGCTCTGTTGCCGGCATTGTCTGTGCGTGGAGAACTTTCTGCTGCTATCGTGAGCAGCACGGCCACCACACGTTGGCTGCGGGCGTTGCTGGCCCGCGCCGTACCACCAGTCTGCACAACCTGCCACCCAGACTCAGCAGGCGAGGGCGATGACGGGTCAGACGATCCAGATCCTGCTTGGCAGACACCCAGCGGCCGGACCTTGTGCTGTCCGGCTGGAACTGACCACGGCGAATGGCCTGCAGAACCTTGTCCAACTCACGCAGAGGACCGCCCTCAAGATATCACGTCCATATCCCAGCGAGCTCTGGTTGTGGCCGAGTGTGTTGTGGTACCCGCAGCGTGCGCTGGGAGTTGTCCACGCCTGCCTTGGCGCACCAGCTCAGCGTGGTAACCTTCAGACTGTGGCTGCGCACCTTTGACACAGGGTTCATGTCAGCGCCAGGGTTGGAGATGCGTCCAGCAGTTCCAGCTCGACCGAGGAGGATGAGAGTGACATCAAATTCACTTTGTCGACCTGCTGTTGAGATCAAGCAAAGTCGCTTGCTTCATGTGCTGAACACTCGCAACGTTCGCCTTTTCTGTGGCAGACCTTACACTGAACGGCTTTGCATTTTGTCCAGTGTGTCGGGTGATACTGATTCCTTTTGCAAAAGGCCGGAGTAGTTGACAGCCGAAGGTAGTAGGAGGGGTATTAGACCCCGGAAAGGTTTGGAGCTTGTCTCCAAAGGTATGGATGGGCCAACAATATGTTTCTCTCATGTCTGTCAACAACAATTGTTCTGCAAATGCCTCATGGCATACTGTATGTGGCATTAAGCGGTGGCATTTTGGATTTTCACACCCTCGGCCCTAAGCTTGCAATGAGGATGATCATGCTGGTGATCGCGATGATGATCGTTAGCATGAGATTGATGTTGATACTTCTGGGACGGCAAGTGGTAGCAGCAGGAGGATTGGCAGGAACAACAGCCGATGCAAAGGTCGCGCTGGATTGTTTCCTTTGTTGCCCTCGGAAGCGTGATGCTTTCCAGCCTGGTATACTAACAGATAGTCGTCGGAATAGAGGCTATGTAGTGACGCTGATGGTTCATATTCAACATGTATCTCTGCCATGGTACCTGAGACTAGCTTATGAAAAATTCTGTCATGGTGGTGGTAGGGAATGTCTCTCAGGAGATGGCGATGGGTCGTTGACAGCTCCTGAATTCCTCGTTTGTTGCGAGCGCCTCATGGGCCCGTCGAAGGCCCGCGGCAGCATGGACTGGTTTCAACCACATGAAGGAATTTCATGTAGTAGTGGTGCATGCAGAGACTGGCACGATACGCTGTGGTGTTTCCAAGCAGTAGCAAAACAGTCGACTGCCAGAGGCGAGCATGATCGTGAAGATTGCTAACGAAGAGCAGCTGCGTCGCAACGAACTGTTTGGATTCCACTACGGTTCAAGATGCCTGTACACAAGGACCTGCGAAGCATCTAAAGAAGTTTGATGAACCTTGTTCGATCTTATTATAGACAAGAGACAAGAGCTGTGCTCTGCTAAGGCGCGAGCGAAGCTTGCAGCAGGACGGATGCGGCCTTTGCGACCGGAATTGAAGTTGTACCAGTGGGCGAGCTGTGACGCCGTTGGAGTTCAGACACTTTGCAGCTGAAGACATGCGTCAGCACTTCAAAGTACATGAAAACATCGCAATTCCGATGGCTGGAGTACACTGCATAGAAAGACAGCACGCACACCACCAGCCACAGGACCATGCCTGTATGAGCAACGCAGCTCCATGAATAGGCTGCCTTAAAGCCATGGCATTGCTCACGCTTGATCCAGCTTCCTTCCGTCGACCAAAGGGCCAGCAGTCCACCCGACACCTGTACCTTGCGAACTGCGGATACGGGTTGGGCGAGTCGGTCGAGACAGTATTGGAGAGGCTCCAGGCCGCCCAGGCCCAAGGTGCTCAAACCGAAGTTCTTGGATTGCATGTGGGTACGGGTGGTGTGTCATATGCAAGCTTCTCGGATGCCTTGACTGCTGAGACGGTGAAGGCGTACTTGGAAGCTTCGACCAAGTGGGTCGTGCGATTTGCAGAGATGTGTTCTGAAGCATCATCAGGAGTGCTTCTCCCTGAGAGCGTAGCGGCAACAGAACATGTAGTAGTACCTGGTGTGCACTTGGTAACTAACTTCATAACGGACGAAGAAGCCTCCAACCTACTGGAGGAAATTGACGGACGGTCATGGGACACGAGCATCAAGAGGCGTGTGCAGCACTACGGACATGCATTCGATTATGCGACTCTGAAGATTGCAAAGCCCGGAACGGTGCCGGACATGCCTGCTTTCGCCGGGGAGCTCATCTCCAGATTGTCAGAGTCCTGCTTAATGCCACATGGGGCAGATCAGCTTACCATCAACGAATACCAGCCGGGTGTTGGGATCGCTTTCCACGTGGATGCGCATTCAGCTTTCGAGGATGGGATTGCAGCAATCACACTGGGCTCAGGAATTGTGATGGAGTTTCGGAAAGCTGACGAGACAAGTGGCAAGCTTTCTATGGGAAGGCACCATCGGATGGCACCCCCACAGCCTGGAGCCGAAATCTCCAAGAACGTTTGGCTTCCACCTAGATCCCTGCTTGTCATGACTGGTGAAGCTAGATATGCTTGGCAACACGGGATAGCTTGGAGGAAGACCGACTGCTTAAAGGAGGGCGAAGTCGTACCACGTTCTCGCCGTGTATCTCTAACATTCAGACGGGCACGCCGTGGACAAGCGTGCGACTGCCAGTGGCCATCACTCTGTGACAGCCAGAACCCGGAAGCCCATGCCACGCCGACGCGAGTTGGCGCTCTGTCATCAGGCTGACCAACATGTTGTGCCGTCAGCCTCTGCCAAAAAAAGTTGATGCCTGTACGCAGTCTGTTTTCATGTATCCAGTCCAGCACTTTCTAAATGTGTGCCAGCCCGCAGGAAAAAGCTCTTAAGATGCTGGCTGCAGATCTCAAGGCCGAGAAGAGCAGAACAGCTTTGACTCGGGTTTATGTTGCGGCAACCTCCATAGATGCAGCCAAGTATCGCACGAGATACAGCAGCAATCAGAAGTTCATTGCGTCAGTGCTTTCTTGTCCATGCAGGCGGGGCAAGAAGAGATCCTCAGCATCCTTGCGCGGCTTGGGCACGATTTTGATATGCAAAGCATGCAACAAACGTCTATGAACGCAGCAAGTCCGCTCACCACTCGAAAAAGGACGCAGCCGCTGAGAGCCAAGGAAGAGTGGCTCCTCCCGATAGACTGCCAGCTTTCAGAGACAAGACTGCAAGTCAAGACGGAGAGCTGTGCTGCTATATGCTGTTATGAAGTGTCGGGAATCTTCAGAAGAAGACCGCGAGAAGCTGAGGTGGTCTCAAATGCAGGCAATGCGCCAGCAAGACATGGAATGTCACCTTTTTTTGTTGCCCATCTGGCTGTGGTTTGACGCTGCCCACGCCGCCAGGGCTAGCAGTGCACAACTTCATACCTTCGTCGCGAAAACAAAACAGATGGACACAAACTGCTGTAGTGCGTAGACAAGGCTGACGTCCTTGGAATCTATCGTTTTAAGGTTAGGCTTTCTGCTTGACCTCACCTTTCTGATGTGGACGGCGAGGCTGTGACAGAGTAGCCTTTGATACTCGTGAAGACGATCCGGAATTTATGAGTAGCTGCAACAGGTATGCGTCTTCGTTTTCCAACTTTCAGAGAGCCGCCGCCACTAGCGATGTATTTCACCTTGCGGGGCCTTCGTCCCAAAGCGGAGTCGGCTACAGCGACGCTTGAAAGCGCAGCTGCCGTTGCCTTCAGGCGTCCCTAGCCGCAGCGCACCGCAAGCTGCTTCGACCAGAGACTTCCAGCTCTGCTTCGGCGCGACGGCCCCGAGGTAGCCAACATGTAAAACCAGTCAAGGTCTATAGAGCAGGAAGCCTTTGGCTGCAAGGACTACAGTTTGGATGCTTCTGCATCGTAGATCCTTTTCTGCCACACTACATTCAGTGAGACCAGGCAGGACACATGGTCGCAATCCTTAGCCAACACCCGAATCCAAGGCAGAACAATCACAAGAAACCTTGCTTGGGTTCCGAAGCTCCACAGATTCAGATACTGGCATACAATCCGCCCAAACCCCCCCAGCTGGTTTTTCCTATGCCGGGGCCTCCCGTGTGTGCTGAGGATTTCCAAAGCTTCGGAAATCCGACTCGTGGAATCAGCAGACAATCATGGAGCGTTCGGACACTCGTGGCAGCAGAGGTAAACGGCAATTCTGCGATTAGGGCTCAAAAAAAGCTGCCACATCACGCGCAAGATGTCACATGCTGTTTGTACCGAGGAACAGCATTCAGCTTGCGCGATCAGTGGCTCAACAAGGCTGGAAACAGCACTAAGGTGAAGGGGTCCGGTTTCAAAATTGCAGTTTACAGCTGGGCCATGACGGAACGGTCAGGTGGCTTCGTTCTTTGCGTTGACTGGCATCGCAGCAGACTTTGCAGCGCAGCACGGGCCTGCATTGTCGCCAAAGCAGTAGGTCGCTGAGCGTTTGTACCTGGAATTCCTGGAATGCCCACTCAGCCACTGAGTCGTGACTGCCAGGTGCGACACAACAGTCGCATCTACGGCCCGGTAGCCTGGGTTATGTTGCACAAAAAGGGCGCAGTGGACTTTCGGACATTAGAACCGGTGATTGCTAGCAAGATTGCTCGGAGACACTTCCTGTAGATCATGCATCCACTAGAGTTTCAGAATGCAATTGCCAAGTATTCTCCACTTACCAGGGAAGCAGCAAAAGAGTATATGCTTGTGCGTTTGCACGTGCGCAAACGTGGCCTAATGTTGCACTGGCTTTAGCTGGAGGGCGCCCCACCCGTTTCCCGCGGCCTGAATAATACGCTCCCGCGGACCTGCTTGGGTCGGGCGTTGCGGGCGAGAGGAAGACAAGCTCTTTAGATTTAGAGGTTCCTGGCCCTGCAGAGGGAGATGGGCTGTGCAGAATGCTGCAAAGCAGTAGCACAGCGGAAACAAAACAGTGCAAATACAGTTGTATAGTAGCATTTAGTATGCGTAGTAGCAGAACGGTAGTAGTGCTAAAGTAGAGTAGAGCAGAGTAGTAGTAGCAGGAGGAGGAGTAGTAGTCGTCGTCGTCGTAGTAGTGGTGGTAGTGGTAGTGGTAGTGGGAGTGGGAGTGGGAGTGGGAGTAGGAGTAGGAGTAGGAGTAGTAGTAGTAGTAGTAGTAGTAGTAGTAGTAGTG